AAAAAGAAAAGCTTGTGAGAAACAAGCCAAGGCAAGGCCAGGCATTCATAGCTAAGAATAAGCCTCTTGCGTGATTTATTTTGAGAGCTAGGTGGTGGACCCCTCCTCAAAAAGCCAAAAGAGAAAAAAAAAATCATTCAACAACACTTCTGACATGAAGTAATGAGATAATGTGATCATATAGAAAGCCAAGGCTTTCTCAACAGAAAATCGCACCTTTCTGTTCTCTGGAAAAGTATCTCCTATAGCATTAGGGTAGGCGACTAGGAAGACATCTCCTATAGCATTAGTGTAGGCGACTAGGAAGACATCTCCTATAGCATTAGTGTAGGCGACTAGGAAGACATCAGGAGGCAGGATGAGTGGTTTGCCCACTAAGAGGGTGGCAAGTGGAGGGACAATGGGAATCTAAAAGAAAACAAGATGGTATGGAATCACAAACAGGGGTGCCACTCAATATAAAAGAGACCCTAAGAAGAGTGACAGGCTCCAGCTGGGGACATGCAGGTTTGGTCTGCAGAACTTAAAGCAATATCATGGAGGCCACAAAAAAATAGCCATGAAAGCAGCTCCGAGTTTAAGGCCAAACAGAGCCACACTGTGAATTAGTTACAGACCAGTCAGAGAGACATTGTGAGACCTTGTCTCAAGACAGAGAGAAGAGAGTTCCAGGTGCTCCGGGGGGAACTGGGGAGTCAGCGTTTAATGGGGGACATATAGCTTCCACTTGGAGAGGTGGGAAAAGGTCTGGAAGCACACAGTGGTAACAGTTGGGCATGGTGTGACTCTACAGGGCCACTGAAGCTCGCACCTCCTGCAGACAGTTAAGATGCAAATCTATCCTTTTGTAAGTATTGCAAGCAATTAATTTGACCCAATTTTAAAAATCAAACTGGTCAATCAACAGTATGCTATATATTCTAAGAATGTGGAACCAAGTAGGTGGGGAAGGAAACGGGGAGGAGATGTGGAAGTCATTTCTTCAAGAGAAACAAGAGGACTGAAGGCATCCTGGGGAGATGGGAAGGGAGAGGGGCCCTTGGTCCTAGACCTCCTTCTCCTGTCCGGCTGGCAGTCAGGAAACCTCAGGCACTAATCAACACCAAACTGCCCACTGGGGCATGGTCTCCTAAAGATAGCACAGACAGGGATGTCAAGAACAGTAAATAAAATGCTTGCTTAGGGCCAAAATGATGCATGTCCTGGAGTTTAGTGCTCTTCTCCTATTCCAAATCTGAGGAATGCCTTTCAGAAAGCTCACAGTTTGCTTACGAAAGGAAAAATCCTCAGCCTCTAAACCTTGTTGTAAGTTATATTCTGAGCCATGTAACTTAAAAAAACCACAGGATCATATACATGCCAGCGGTAAAGACTCCTGAGCACACGTCTCCCTAGAGAAGCTTCCACGGGCTTGGGGATGTCTGATTCTTTCTCTGGTCATTGTTCTGCGCACCTGTATGAGCTGAGGATCCAGGCTGTCTGTTCTTTTAATAAGCGTGTCCGCTTACTGGTGCATCCGAGAGTCCTACCTGTGATGAAGCCAGAACCCTGCCTTTGTCTGGCTGAGTTCCCTTTAGGGAATGGGAATGCCTCAGTTGAAGTGGCAGCATGAACTAGATTTTTTTTAAGGCTCTCTAGCAGGTACTGGAGAGATGACCTGGTGATTAAGAACACTGGATGCTCTTCCAGAGGACTCAGGTTCAATTCCCAGCACCACATGGCAGTCCACAAACATCTGTAACTCCAGTTCCCAGGGGATGTGATGCCCCATTCTAGCCTCTGTAGGCACTGCACAAAATGCAGTACACAGACACCGTGTACAGACACCCAACACTGCAATAGTACAGACACGCTTGCAGGCAAAACACCCATATGCACAGGATACTGTACTTCGACAGTTTTAAAATTCCTTGTGTATAAGTTTGACTGTGGTAAAGACATATGAAAAAGACTCCTGGTTTATGGAGATTTGACTTACGACTCACACTAATACAAAAGTAATGCATGCTCATGACAAATCATTTTAAATTCTGATTTTTCCCTTTAAGGCTAGAAATATGCAATCTGGCACCCTCTCGGGATGCTGAGCAAGCAACATTAAGTCACATGATCAGAAAGATAGCAGAGGATACCCCACGTATGTAGTGTTACTGAGCTGACATGTCTAGTAGGTTAGATGTAAGAAATGCATTTAGCGTTACAGTATTTTCAATTTATGATGGGCTTATTGGGATGTAACGCCATTATAAGTCAAAGATAAAGTGTATTTAAAAGTAAACGGTGACCAGGAATGGTGGTTCATAACTGTAGTCCCCATGTTTGGAAAGCAAGAGGGATGCCATGAATTCAAGGCCAGCCTAGGCTATAATAATGATTAGACATCTCTACAAACAATAGAATATAGGAAGCATTGGTGAAGAAGTAGAAAACAGGACCCTCAAATATTTTGGTGGGAATGTGAAATTGCAAGCCCTCTTTGAAAACAGGCTTGGCATTTTTCTTATAGCCTTAAACAGATTTATTACGTGACTCAGCAAATCTCCCTGATATTCACCAACACAAAAGCAAACTCCACCCACACAAAAGCATGATGTAGATGCTCATGGCTTTGGCAGCCATTTTCATAATAGCCCTAAACTAGAACCAACCGGAAATGTCCACTGGCTGACTGAAGGACAGTATAATGATCCTCCTCTACCCACCATCTCATTCTGCGTAATAACCATTGTCAGTCACAGTCTGGAACGGCAAATGGAAAATTCAAGAGAGAAAGAATTCTGAAGTCTGAGGTTGCATCCTGTTCTGGGCCACACAATGAAAGCTCATGCTGTCCCACTACACCCACCAGGGACACACATCCCTGCTTTGTCCAGCGTCTCCATGCTCTCCACCCTGCCCACCCACAGTCCCTCGTTCATCAGACGGACTGTGGTGGTGTTGCGGTGCCCGTGTTGGAGGTATGGTTATCTTGCTCAGTGGTCCCAGTGCACAACAATGACAACTTTATCTTAGTGTACTGATACTTTATACATAGGATGTGGGTGTGTGTGGGTGTGTGTGGGTCTACTTCATTAATTGTGGTCATTCACTTACCATGCCTAATTTATGTATTGAACTCTATTATAAACACCTGTACATAGGCAATAACATAGTATGCATGGGGCTTGGTAGCATCAGGCATCCATGGGGGCTTCTGTAATATAGATATTACAATATAAAATCTATCCATATCTATATAAGGGATAAGTATGGATATATAGATAAGGGATATCTATATATCTGTAATATAGATAAGGGAACCACTGTGTGTTCTTACTATGTATTGCTTTCAACCATAAAAAGGAATGAAATATCATTCACTGCAACATGAATGACTCTTGTTGATACTATGCTCCACGAACGAAATCACGAAGGACACCACAGGCCACACATCTAGTTAGGGCTTCTATTGCTTGGACAAAACACCATGACCAAAAAGCAAGTTGGGGAAGCAAGGGTTTAGGTGGCTGACGCGTCTATATTGCTATTCATTATTGAAGGACATCAGGACAGGAACTTAAACAGGGCAGCAATTCGGAGGTAGGAGATGAACAGGCTGTGGAGGAGTGCTTGGTTGAGGTGGGACTGGCTTACTCACATGGCTTGCTCAGCCTGCTTTCTTGTAGAACTCAGGACCACTAGCCCAGGGGTGTCGAGTTGGCATAAAACTAGCCAGGACAGCATGTAGCTCCATTTCTATGTAATAACCAAGAAAAGATGACTCATAAATGAAAAGAAACTCATAGTTGCCTAGAGCTGGGGGCAGGGACATAGTGAATGGATACATAGTCTTTTACTGGACGACGAAGTTTTCTAAAATCAGAATGTGGCTGTATTGGTCAGGCTGCCATAACAGAAATTTATCTCCCAAAAGGAAGTCCAAGATTAGCGCACGCACATGGATGGGTTCTGGTGAATTCTGTCTCTAGCTTGCTGTGCACAACTTCTCACTGTGTGCTCAAACGGCAGGAACTCAAATGCACACGACTGACTGAGACTGACAAGCAACCAACATCCGGCCCAGAAAGCCAGAGATATTAACTGATGATGCCACATGAAAAACTAAAGCCATATCTCCATCTACACAGCTCTCTCTCTGGGGTGGACGGCAGGAGAGCTCCGGACTGGGGCACCACAGATACAGGGTGCATTTCTGCCTGGGCAGAAATGCCTTCAGTTTCCTACTCTCCGGAGTGAGGGTGAGAACAGAATATTCATCAGGAGGCTTTACAGTCCTCACAGCAACCAGCAGCTTGATAAGCTTGCACCAGCACTTCAACTACACAGGGCTTGACACATTTTGTGTGGTTTATTTCTTGCTTATTTTTGATACTATCTATGTAGCCCAGGCTGTCTTTGAACTTACGTTCCTCTCCCTCCCTAATGCTGGCACAACCACACCTGGCCAGGACCTACTTTTCTTGAGGTTTTGCTATAAACCAGATGCCTTCAACCAAATGTTCCCTGATCTGCCGTTGTATTGTTGGTTGATGACGTATGAGCAACGTCTTGCAAAGCCCACATGGAAACAGTGCCCACGGTAGTCATGACAGTCATCTGGTCCAAGCTGTCAGATGGGGACAATGAGACTGGGGCAGGGGCTTCCTGACCAAAGGCTGGTCCACCTTGCTAGAAGGCCTGCCTAACATGATTACCAACCCTCACTCCCACCCTCCAGCTCACTGTTTAGTCAGTCTCTGTGTAGAACTTCTCCAGAGAAATATCCTGCCTACTGGCTACAAAGGTACTCCTATGTGGTTTTAAAGACTGTCAAATGCAAATTACAAATGCTCCATTTGAAAGATGACAACGGAAACATTTTTCAATGCTTCCTGTTTCTTCCCAAGCCTCCATCTCTTTACCAAAGCCAGTTCTTTTAAAAAACTATGAACCAAACAACAGTTCTGCAGACAAGAGGTGAGCTATTCCCAGAGAATCGCTATGGCATTTTTCCTTGTTACCTTGGTAACCGCTACCTTGGCACCCTTGTTGATGAGCTGAACCACATTCTCCGCTTGGCCTTTGTACGCAGCTATGAGCAGGCGTTCTGAAAGCGCAGCGACCGCATCCTGCTGGCTCATGAATTAGTAGAGAAAGGGGTTCTCAGGAAAGCAGGAGATCAATTTCTTCAGCTCCACGTGCAGCCTCTGGCTAGGACTGGAGTCCACAGGGAAAGGTGCTCAGAATCATGGGGCATGCCTTTGTTACTACTCCATCTTCAGGTCCTGGGAGGGGGGCACAAAACAAAGCGGCCATCAGTGCCACTCAGCACACAAGGACAGACAGACACACCTCTGCTGACTGCAGGTTGTTCTTCTGGGTGCACAGCACAGGGGAGGAAATCTAGAGAGACAGGACATCAAAAGCATGTTTCCACAGTGTTTTGGAGTGCACCAGTCTCTCCACTTCCTCCCTCCTCAGGACCATTCTCCACAGGATAGGCAGAACTGGGAGGTTGCATTTTTACTAGGGGGAAGGAGGCCTGATATAACATAGGGGTGGAGGGAGGGAAGGTGGGGAGAATGATGTAATTGTTTTTAACTTAAAAAGAGGCCTGATATGATTCCCTACACACCTCCTGGTCATTTACATAACAGCATGTACTGTGAATGACCAGCCTTAGCCTTGTGGACCTGGTTCCTGTGAATCCACCATGGCTAGCAGGCACTCAGAGACCATGGGAGGTGGGCTGTCTCTTTGAGGAGACCCCTCCCAGCCCTACACACACACACACACACACACACACCACAGTGCACGTGATTTTCTCCATCCTTTCCTTTCTGGAAACAGTGCAGCCTTCTGGAGCCGGGAGCTCAGATGGAGTTCTGAGCACAGACCCCAGGCCGACTCCAGTTCCAAACTGATGAAACACTCCACCTTGGGAGGAAAATGACGCCCCTCTCGGTGCAGCCAGCTCTTGCGCTACCGTTTAGAATCACCTCCTCCACAAACACCCCACACTCCCTTGCTAAATTGGAGGAAAATCAATGGCCACTAAACCACTGGGGACAAAGCCTTCCGGTGTGCAGTGGGCTGATGGCAGTAAGCTCCTCTTTTCATGAAAGGACCAAGAAGGAGAGACCTCTAGTCTCCGCGCAAGTAGCTGTGGGCATATCCTTAGAACAAGCCAAGTCGGGGTACTGACTTCAGTTCTGTGGCAGGAGCGGGAGGAAGGTCGTCTCTGCATTTTAAAATATATTTATAGTTGCCATGGAGATGGTTCAACAGGTATAGGCACTTGCAGCAAAGCCTGAAGCCCTGGGCTCAGTCCCCTGCACCTGCCTGCTCCCAGCCCCTCCCAGCTCCTCCTCGTCCCTCCCCGTCCCTCCCCGCTCCTCCCTGCTCCCACACCACAGAAAATGCTGCCGCAAAGGACCACTCTTCAACCCAACACTGGATCATGTTTTGGTGTTTAAGAATCTACGGGCATCTTTCATAAGTGCTTCCAGAAACTTGATGATCATTTCTATCTCAGCTCGCGTGCCCAGTTACCCTGGGAGGCTGGGGTAGAGTCCCGTATGCAGAACAGACACCAATCAACTCCATTCTCACAGCAGCAGGGAGTGAAATGGTACTTCATTATAAGAAATCTAGCCAGTTGTAAACACTGTAATTTTAGAACGCTAATTCTTACCTACCCCCAATTCTTTATTACCACGTTTCATATTGTTCTCCATCTGTTGCCCCAGATACGGGCAAAAGATAATCAGGAAAGAGAGAGAAAACCTGGCAAGCCCAGCCTGCTCTTGCTCACCAGGTCACCGGAAGTACAAGTCTGGAGAGGGTGATGCCAGGAAGCACAGCACCCCAGCTAGTTGGCCCTGAGATCCTGAGATGTGCATTTCCCTTCCTGTGCTGGGCATCGAGCCCAGGGCCTGTCACATGCCAGGCAAGTGTACTACCACAAAGTTACATCCCCTGCCCAATGAAAGAACAGAGTTAAGACTCAGAGCAGGGAGAAAAACAGCTAGAAATGCCTTTGGAAGGGCCCAAAGTCACATGACTACATTTGGGGTTTTATCTCCTGCCTGCACAAACACACACACAAACACACACACACACACACACACACACGCACACACATGCATACGCATGAACGCACACACACACTCATTGTCTTTATCAACATGGGGTGTGCTGTTTCTTCTGCAGGTAGGCTGTGTTCCATTCACACACATTGCTCCAAATTGCTGCTCCTTCAGGTCAAATACTAGAGCATCACTCTTTGCCAAATGCAGGAAAAAGCATGGCATTAACTGCTAGTTCCCCGAAGATCTCCCTCCCACCTGCGAGTCCTTCCCCTTTACACCCCCTTCCCTTCATCTACCCGTTTGCTCTCTCTGTGCCCTTGGCTTCATCTCCACCCATCCCTTCCAGCGCCTTTCCCACCCAGGACATCTGAGTCCAAGACAGCCTACTTCATACACACTTATCATCATTGCTGGGTTCCACCCAGTCTACTCCAAAGCCTGCCTGAAAAGGTGAGCCTCTCAGCTGCACGGTCCTGCCACCAGCCCCACAACCATAGCGATATAGCCCCCTTAGCAACAGACACAAGGCCCAGCCAGCTTCTGCCAAATGAATTACTACTACTCCCCTCCCAGCCACCGTCTCATGCAACAGATGACGTCCTCCCAGACAATGAAACTAAAGCCAGAAGTTCTTACGGTTACAGCTGCAGGCTGAGATAGCTTTGCTTAGATAACTACCGGGCAAATAGCCCTTTGCAAGTCCGGCCACTATCGCTATTTTGTTTTCAAATCAAAACACCCCATTGGTGAGAAAAAAACTGAGCAACGAGCAATGCCATTTTATTTTTTGCTTTTCTGTGGCAGCTACATAAGAATCCTTTTTACCTCCGCCCCACGAAACCACCCATACACCTGCAGGACAGTGGTCATTCACAACAGCTCTTGGATACGCCCCATCACCCTCCAGCATGCTGGCACAGAAAACCGCCTGCAGGACAAGCGGCAGAAACACCACCCTGGGTTATCAGCTCCTATCTGCAGCCAACACCATCCCGTCATGCTTGGACTTCTCAAAGTCATTCTCAGTGTCAGGGCAGGGATCCTATCACTGTAAGGACCTACACCAGCAGATGCTTTACACAAAGGGTGGCCGCGGTGTGGATCAGGGGTGCTGAGGCTGCTCTGTTTCCTGTCTCTCCTCACGACCTCGCGTGGAGTTAGAGGATGCTCTCCTCCCTGTCTGGGAACCAGCAAACTAGGCCAGATGGAGGCAGGCAGGGATAGGGAGGGCTGGAGAACCCCCTAGGAGAGGAAGGAAACAGAAGGGTGTGACCAGTCTGCAGGATGAGTTAAGTCTTCACTGCTAACCTGTTGGGTGCCCTGGCTGTCACAGCTTTGGCCTCTCATCCGAGCCTCTTCTTCTATTCCATAGTCATCCTTCAAGATAGCCTTGCTGCTAGAAGGGAGCAGTCTGTCTGCCTCACACCTGTCAATCACAGCCTTTGTCACGGTGTGCATTTTCACAGTGCTCCAAAGGGAAAAGCTTAAAGGCAAACTTGCTGCCTGGTCTTCAGGCAGGAAGGAAGCAGCCACACAGTCGGTCCACACAGCACAACACACGCAGGCGGGGGCGGACTCCAGGGACCCATTGCCTCCTTTCCTCCCAGCCCTACCCCTTCTGCATGCACTGCTCCCTAGTCTGCGGTTCCTTTTGTGTCTCATCACCGGGGTCAGAGGATTCCACAGATGCTCTACCTGTGAGGAGATAGTTGTTTGTTTTCCTGTTTCGCTTCACACGGCAAAGAGTCTACGAGGTTCGATTCTGCTGCTTTATTGCAGATTTACAACCAACTCTCCCGGTGCCGGTCAATCTCTGAAAGCCGCCACATTTAGTCTCCTCCCAATGCACTAACTACTCTAAACGAGCCCTTCTAAGAAAAGTCCTAGCCAGGCATTGTGCAGAACCCACCGCGATCAGGCCACCAGAGCCGTGGTTGGAGAGCACACATAGTGAGAATAACTAGCTTTTCCCACCAGCGGGATTACTCACACATGGGGCTGTCCTCCGTGTTCTTTCTGAAATGCGGTCAATTCTCTCCTGGTGGGATTCTAAGCTTCCCAGGGCTGCCGCTCCGGGACCGCTGCTCCCAGAGGCTCAGAGATTTACCCACAGCAATTATAAGCCTTCTTCCTTAGCCTCCTCAGCCGCGATGCTAGATGCATCACCGGACTATTAAGGCATCCATTCAGCTCCAGATGCTGCTCTGTTGTCACTGTTCTGATTTCTGGGAGACCAGAGGACCTGTAGCCCTGCCCGACAAGGCAAGGAGCCGTTCCCAGCTGAGGCGAGCGCTTCAGATGGATAAGCCGAGGATGAAGCAGCAAAGTTTGCAGCCTGCCGTGAAGGGGGGCACACAGGCAGGGGCGAGAGGATCACCAACTGTCCTCACGGACACGGCTGCTGAAATGCTGGTATCCTGCGCAGCAACCCAGACACAAGCTGCTGGAGCAGAGTCCCGTATGGGGACTGCAGCGTCTGCAGAGCAGACAGGGTCTGGCGGAGTGGCCACGGAGATGTCTGTAAATGCAGTCTGCTCAGAAACTCCTCCACAGTGCACGCAAGGGAGCAGGGTGGGGAAGTGGAGGGCCGAGGCCCCTCTGAAGCAGATGGATGTGTGATGCCCCTCTTCTAGGCATCTCAGGTGTGCCTCCCTGCCCATCTCTTCAAGCATCAGCAGCTCCCTACTGGAGACATAAGAAGCTTTTCATTTTGGTTTGAGCCAGGCCAGTACAGTTTTTGTGTGAAATAGGATTATTGGCTCGAGAGGTAGGAGAAGAGCTTGGTCAACAAAGCTTCTGACTGCCTTCCTGCCCCACACCTTCCCTCTTCCCCCCTCCCCAGGACAGCAGCCTCTGTGACCATGGGGCTGGGATCCTGCTTCGGTCTTTTGGCACAGAAAGATTAGACTGTGGACTCTGGTCTACACACTGCACAAATGTGGAAATATACCAGGGACACAACTGCCAAGAGACGGTAGCACCATCTTCCCCTTTTCTTCTGGACTAGATAGTTTTCATCCTAGGTCACCCAAACCCAATCATTCCTTTCCTAGTGTAATCACCGCTGGGGACCAAGTGAGATTATAGCAAAGATGAACACAGCTCGATCCTGACTTTGAAGAAACCATTACTGGACCACCCTTAGGTGACAATGAAGACCCAAAAGACCAGGTGCCAGAAACAGACCAGTTTAA